TTTAGCAAAATCTTATTACTCTATGGCATCCATCAATGCCTGCCTTGTAAAAGCAAATTCTTTCATCCTGTTTTTCCCTGCAGGTTCCTGTCTCTCCCTACATATTGTTAGTCATTTGCCCATTGTTTGCCTAATCACAGAACTGATGAGTTAAAGAAAAGCCATTAATCTGCAATTTGTCCAACCTTTTCTTGTTTGAAGTGCAGGGGTACACTGTTTCCAACTTTCCACACCTCTGAGGTGAAACCAAAGTTGGTACAACCAATTATAAAAAGAGCAATGACCCAAAAAATTCCACCTTCAAGTATATCTTAGATCTTTGCATCTACTTATCCCATGAGATAAGTAAAATAACCTTTAAATTAATGATAGTCACAATATTCAGACACTAAAAGCACCCCATGGAGAATAAGTGAATGGAAATAAATTATGAAATAATCATATACCAGATTACTGTACAGAAAGGAAAAATGAGTGAATTAGTACTATATGAAACAACATGAATGAAACTTAGAAACATAATACTGAGTGATGTCATCAAGATGACAATATAGGTCATTCTTGACTTCAGCCCCAGTCACAAGAACAACAACTAGCAACTATCCATAGATGAGACACAACTGTGAAAATTCCAAAGCCTGGAAGTGAGGTTAAAGCAGCCTCCTGGACAATAGAGACTGAGAAGGATCACACTAGAAGGATAAGAGGAGCAGCTACATACTGAATGCATCATCCTTTTCCCCAGGCTGGCACATTGAGAGGGCCCACCTAGGCCTATGTTTTCTTCAGTGGGAAAAAGAGAGCCAAAGGTGAATATTAGGTTCTCCAGTATTGCTGGACAATTTCTGGTAGGCCCACTTCAGTCTCACCTTACAGGGATCACTGAGGATATTTACCACAGGGAATCACATAGGACAGAGAAGGTGGGTGGTACTTAAAGCAACCAGCACTCAGATTTTAGCAGATCACATTCCTATTTGTACTGGCATTGGAGCAGAGATTCTAGTCAGTGGCTACACCCATCTGCAGAGCTGAGCTGGTGCTATGTCTGGCCTCTGGGAGCCAGAGGGTACTTCCTGATTTGGGTCCCCAGCCAACAAGCTGTGCCAGGTGTGAAACCCATTTTACAGCCCTGCTTGCCGGAGAAGCAAATGCAAAGTCCTGACCAACTGCTGCCCAACTAGGAAGTCTGGCCAGAGAACCCAGGAAGCCAAGGAGCCCATCCTACAGCCTCACTTTCATCAGTGTCTTGTCAGAGATTCCAGCCAATAGCTCTGCCCAGCTGTGGAGCTGAGCCATTGGCCCTATCTGACCAGACAGCCTCTCCTCTTCCCCCTACTTTAGAGCACAAGCATTGGACCCACCCAAACCAAGGCCCTGATAACAAGCACTGACTGCCCATGGAAGCAACCACATAAATAGTCCATTACCTCAAGCTGATGGATGAAGGTCTGTCCCTGATGAAGTGAACCTATAAGGTCTAGGAGACTACTTACTCAAATGTGCGAGTACAAACACAAAGAATCAAGGATGACAGAGAATCAGGTAAACATGATACCACCAAAAGAAACTAATAAATCTCCAATAACTGACCCTAAAGAGAGGTTTCTTAACTATCTGACAAATAATTTAGAATAATCCTTTTAAAGAGGTTTATTTAGCGAGGGACACCTGGGTGGCTCAGTGGTTGAGCATCTGCCTTCAGCTTGGGTTGTGATCCTGGGGTCTTGGGATGGAGTCCCACATCGGGCTCCCTATAGGGAGCCTGTTTCTCCTTCTGCCTGTGTCTCTGCCTCTCTCTCTGTGTCTCTCATGAATAAATAAATTTTTTTTTTAAAAAAAGAGGTTTATCAAACTATAAGAACACACAACTAAAACATAATTAGTTGTACAATACATGAACAAAATTAAAAATACAAGAATACACACCATCAAACAAACAGAAATCCTAGAGCTGAAAAATGCAATGATTGAACTGAAGAATTCAATAGAGAGCTTCAACAGCAAACTCAACCAAGCAAATGAAATAATCAGGAACTATGAGATACATCATTTGAAGTGATTCAGAGATGAAAAAAAAAAAACCAAAATGATAGAAAAAAAAAAGCCCACAGGACTTATGGGACATTGTAATGGAAATATATGCATTATGGGAATTAAAAGGGAACAGAAAGTCTACTTACAGCAAGAATGACAATACTTTCCAAACTTGAGGAGGATATGGATATACATTATTCGTGAGGCCCAAAGGACCCCAAATAGTTGAAGTAGAAAAAAGTTAACTGAAAAACACATTGTAATACATTTCCCAAATGTCAGAAACAAAAGAGAATTTTGAAAGCAGCAAGAGAAAGGTGTCATGCAAGGAGCCTCCTATAAGACCATGACCAGATTTCTCAACAGAAGTTTTGCAGGCCAAGAGATTACATATTCAAAATACTGAAAGAAAAAAGTGTCTTGCAGCCAAGAATAATATACCTGGCAGAGCTGTCATCTAGGAAGGAAGGCCAGAAAAGATTTAAACCTTTAAACCTCTCCAATCAAAAGACAAGAGATTGGCAGAATGGATAAACAACATAAACCCATAATTTCTGTACATAATACTTAGCTGGATTCCCAGATGGAAGTCCTAGACTCTTTGGACTCAGAGAAACTAATTTTTTCCTCTCCATTCCTTAAAACAAAATTTTACCTATGGCCCCACATTGAATTTACCCCAATTTAAGTTGGATCCAGTCTGACCCTGGACCCAGTTTGATTGAAGTCAGAGAGCTAATAATGTTTAAATCAGACCCTGTTCAACTCCAGAACCAGTCTGGTAAAAGACAAGCTCAAATCTAGTCAGAGAGCTCATGACACAATAGTGAAGAGCTCAGATACTCAAAAGGGACATCCATATGCAAGACTTTCAGGCATAGTGTGAAAGTAGTGAGCTAAAAGGGCCCAGCGAGTACCTATGCCTATTTGCTCTTTGCTCCCAGGACCATTGGGTGGAAGGATACTATTGGACTCCGATTCTGACACCAAAACTAGTAAAAAATTAACTGGCACAAATTACAATTTTCAAGAGTTTATTAGAGCATATATCAATTCTAATTGGGAAGCATCACTCTAAAAGTGATGAAGAGGACTCCACAAACAGGAGCTAAGGGAAAGGTTTATATAGAAAAGATATGTGGGTAAACAAGGGAGTATTTAGTTTGCTCTAGCTTAAGCAGTTGTCTAATTTTTAAAAACCTAGTTGGCTATTTCTGATTGTCTGTTCTTGAGTTTCATTTTCTCAGATTCAAGTGCATTTACCCTGGCTGAGGTTTTGATTTACTTATAGGCTGCCAAGGAATTAGACCCACCTCAGTCTTGACTTCTTTGACTACTTTAACGTATATTCTTAAAACGATTTTAACCCCAATTAATTTAATTAGTAATAATTTGCAAATCTGCATTGATAAGTATAAGCACATCTGTTTGTTCTGAATTTGAAATGGATACTCCACTCCTCCCCTCATTCCACCAGTGGATTCTTATTCACCTGTAAAAGAAATAAGAACACACAGCCTGACTTTGCAGATTTATTTTTTTTTAAATTTTTTTTTATTTATTTATGATAGTCAGAGAGAGAGAGAGAGAGAGGCAGAGACATAGGCAGAGGGAGAAGCAGGCTCCATGCACCGGGAGCCTGATGTGGGATTCGATCCTGGGTCTCCAGGATCGCGCCCTGGGCCAAAGGCAGGCGCTAAACCGCTGCGCCACCCAGGGATCCCTAGATTTATACATGTGATTTCCTCTTTCATATGGCATGTGAATAGTAAACCTTGTCCTGCTCTAGTCCCCAGCAAATACACTGTACATGCATACATAATCACACAACCAGAAAGAAAATCCTGCCAGTTCATATTATCAAGACTTGGTTTGTAGTAACAATAGCATTGTAGAGGCTCAAGTTTTTTAAACTGTGTATATGAACTAACATTTTTTTTTTGTGTGACTAAAGCCTGCTGAAAGAATTAACCATGTCACATATATACGAAAGACGTGGGCTTTTGGATGATGTCCCTCTTTTATTTGCCAAATTTATTCACCCTCTACTGTGTATAATTAAGTTGATGTAGGAATATTTTAGAACTTTAAAATGGAATGTATAAGATTATTCATCTATCTGTCCTTTCCTAGGTAGTGAATTAAAACATGAGAACCAAGGGATCCTTAACTACTACATTCCCAGCAAGGACAATGGCTGGGGAAAGGTGATTGTAGCAACCATGCTTTTCTAATATTACATGCTAAGAAAGCACTAATGGTAGGAAGTGTTTGGGACTGTAGTGTGGAATGGGAGCCTAATGTTATAAAAGGAGCAGAGACTTTAGGTTACTTTTCAATTGTTCCTAGAGTTTAATTGCTTCAAACTTCCACCTCTAGATTTTTTTTTTGTCCCCCTGAAGAAAATGGAGCCAGAGAACTGCTTCCTTGCAGATTCTTAATGATCATTTCTTTTTCTCATCTCCCCCTTCTGTGCTTTTTGTCATTAAACAATAACTTGGTAGGACTTGGAGGAAGGGGTGGAGAGGCTCATCTGGGTTGGGCACTGGAGGGGATGCCTGCAGTGGTAACTGTACTTTTTATTGCTATCATTGTTAAAGGTGTTTGGTATTTTGGAGGAGGCTAACAAGAAATTCCATTTAGAAGACTATTCCATCAGTCAGATAACACTGGAAGAAGTCTTCATGACCTTTGCTAAACTAGAAAACATAGAAGTTTAATGAGAAAAAGGTGCAATGAGTTTCACTTCTAACTAGTGACAATATGCTGTCTTCTTCAGTACTCTCTACTACACCTGGATACATGGAGGGGCATTTCTGTGTGTATATCTGTATATATACATATATTTATGTAATAAAGACTCCCCCAAAGGGGACCATATGTCAATTCTTTGTAGACTTACATGGATTGCTTTTGCAAATCTAAAGGCATTTGGTAAAATTTCCATTTTCTATGCTAGAAACATGAAGGAGCAGCATTTATCAAGGTGGGGAGAAGGATCTATTCCTGAGTATTTTGAATGTTTGGACAGAAACATCCAGAAATGATGGAGCTGTCAGATGGGACACCCTGAAGAGTAAAAGCTTTATGTTTTAGCAGCTGAATTATACATAAGAGGATCATAAAGCCTGGGGGTAATCCTCTTTCCAATAGATATATATGCACACCCACACACCCATAAACACACACCAATTTTGTAACAAAAAAAGTCTAATTGAAATCAGTATCAAAATTTATGGGGATAAGTTGGATTATTTCCAAAATTCAAACCAAGATTCTACATTTGTAAGAGAATCTTTGCACCAAGAACATTTAAAGTCCAAGAAAGGAAGCAAAACATTATTTAAAAATAGCGTATTTACTTTTCACTCTTGCCCAACTCTCTGATTAAGAAGGAATGAAAGAAAAATAAGATATAAAGGGAGACAAAGTTCTTCTGATTGTTTAGGCACATGGAGTCTCATAATAAACATGAGAAATCTAATCACTTCTCTAGATTCATGGGAGGATGATCCTCCTGAAATTACAAAATGGAAAGTTACTGAAGCTGTTGTATTTTGGGGTGGTTTAGGGGTGGTGGTTTTTATATCCTCAATTGGATATTGTGGGTAATAAAGTGATATTTTCTTACTGTTTTTAGGTGTAATGCAACTTTCCATGGGTTCCAACCAAAACTACCCATAGATCTCTGGCATGTGATTCCAGTAATTGCAAAATCTGTTTCCCAGGCTGTCCATCTCTAAAAAGAGAGAGGAAATCATTTTATTAATTTTATTTAATATTATTATTTTTATTTAGTTTCATCTCATAGCCAGTTGGCTTTATTAATGATTCTTTAAAATAATTCCTTCAGTCTTTTTCACTGGCCCTCCCTATTTTGCAACCCACCTCTTACCTTCAAGCAAGAAACAAACAAAAAAAGTGTCACTTCCCCTGCTAAGCTCTTTACATGCATTGCATCATTTAATCCTACTACAAACCTCAGGGTGAGGTAATCATTCTATTTTCCTCATTGGACACGGAGGCTCAGAGGGGTTAAGGGATTTACACAGGAGCACCCAGCAAGCAAGCAGGAACAGGGGCACCTGGGTGGCTCAGTGGTTGGGCATCTGCCTTTGGTTTAAGTGGTGATCCTGGGGTCCTGGGTCCTGGGATCAAGTCCCACATCGGGTTTCCGGGAAGAAAGCCTGCTTCTCCCTCTGCCTATGTCTCTGCCTCTCTGTCTCTCTCATAAATAAACACAATCTAAAAATAAAATAAATAAAATATACTCGTTGCTAGAGGAATGCTAAGTTTGCACAGGTGGGGGGTAAAAACCAAGCAGGAACATCCCCCAGTGTACCCATTAAGAGCCTGACAACTACACAGCAAATGGAGTAGGGAGTTCTCTCTCTCTGTACGTCCTTACAGCTACTCTTAGCACCCTCTCCTGACAAAGCCTTAACCCGACGTTCAAGGGGCCCCCTGACTGGCTCAGCAGTTGAGCATATGCCGTGGCTCAAGGCCTTATCCAGGTCCAGGAATCGAGTCCCCCATTGGCTTTCCTGCAAGGAGCCTGCTTCTTCCCCTTTATCTCTCATGAACAAATAAATAAAATCTTATAAAACAAAAAACACGAAAAACACAGTTCAAGAAGCCCAGATCCATCCAGCGCTGAGAGGCCGGAACCTGATACCCGGTCCAGTAGGGAAGAGAAGCGCCCTCTGATAGAATTCAGAACCTGGGCTCCCAACCATTACGCTGCAGTGGAGGTGGGTCTTGGGGTGGGGTCCTGCAAAGAAGCAACCATCGACCAATCTGTGGGTGCCCTGTACCCTCTCTCAGAGCGTGAGGCCTCATTAAACTTTTCTCTCGCGCCCTGCCTGAGGCACCCGGACCCCGAGGGCCCTACCTCGTGGCCCAGGTCCCACAGCGAGGCCCGGTGAGTGGGCGGCGGGTCAGGGGAGCGCGCGGAGGACGCACAGGGGTCTCCACGCGCTGAGCAGCCACGGGCGGAGGCCGCCCAGGCCCAGGCAGGAGGCGGCGCAGGCTGCGGAGCGACACACGGGTCGCCCCGCGTCCGGGGCTTTGAGTGGCCCCAGAGCAGGGTGGCGGGCTCCTGTGCCTGCACCTCTGCCAGTTATCTGTTGACCCCCACAGACCGCAGAGGGCAGCGGCCACTGAATCTCCTCCCACTTCCCGCCGCCAGCCACCGGCCTGCGAGGGTGATCAGGCCCCTGAGGGACGAGGGAGCCCGGACAGGCGGAGGATGATGGGGTCGCTCGGCGCGGGGCAGGGGCCAAGAGCCCGGAAGCGGGCGAACGGCCACGAGGTAGGGCCCTCGGGGTCTGGGTGCCTCAGGCAGGGCGCGAGAGAAGAATTTAATGAGGCCTCACGCTCTGAGACAGGGTCCGGGGCACAGAGGGCGCGGAGACCGTGCCGCGAGGGCCGCAGGGAGGAAGGGGCGGCCTGGGGCTGGGCGTGTGCGCGCTTGCGCGAGGCAGGGGCCGAGGCGGGAGACCAGAGCCTCGCGAGAACTCTCAGCTGGGCGGTTGGGGAAGGCGTTGGGAGGAGGCGCTGCGGCGGGGGCCCAGGGCGCGTGTCCCTCAGAGGTGGGGGTGGGGGCGGAGCTGTGGCGCTGGTGGTTTGGAGCCCTGAGCGGTGAGTGTGGGGCCTCCCCGCCTGGCGTCTTCTCCCCAGATTCCCCGGGGAGGCAGGGGTGCTCCCCAGACTCCCCCGGAGGCCGACCCGCCAGCCTCATTCTTGAGTGCAGAGCCCGAAACCCCGCAAGCCCCAAATACGCGGGAGCCCTCCACAGCGCTCCCTGCTGCGCTCCAAAATGACACCCCGGCCCCCTGCATGTAACACACATATTAGATAGAGTATGACTTGCACCCCACTATCGAATGTCGGGGGCCACCACACCCCAGTGTTGGCCCTCCATCCTCACAGGACCTCACTCCCGTCCTCTGCCTGTCCGGGTCCCCCTGCTCTGGGGCATGCATCCAGGGCTTCCCGGGGAGGAGAAAGTGCCCTCCGCGTCAAGACACCAAAGCAAGCACAGGAAGTAAGAGATACTTCTCTGGACCCCCAAACAGAGAAGCTAAGAGCCTGAAGCCCAGGGGAGCGAAGGGAGAGGGGGAAGCTGGCTCCCCGCTGAACAGGGAGCTGGAGGTGGGGCTCCATCCTGGGACTCCAGGATCATGATCTGAGCCTGAGCAGAAGGCAGACCCTTAACAGACTGAGCCCCCAGGTGTCCCTAACCAGAGCAAAATAAACAAAATTTTATTTTGACTGTTGCAAGTACTTGAAAGGCAGGGCTCTGGAGGCACATGTGGGTCTCGGCCTGCTGAGTCCAGAACGTATGTGCTGTGTGACTGCCCCAGTCAGCACATGACTGGGGTACTTAAAAACAAGATGTGTTTCTCACAGTAGGACACACTGAGTAACTTCCTGAGGCTGGGAAGTCTCAAAGCTTCATACAGGTCCCATGTGTGGTGAGAGCCTGATTTCTGATTCACAGACAGGCCTCTTCTCACTGTGTCCTTCACATGATGGAGGGAGCAAGGGAGCTCCCTGGGGCCTGTGTCATAAGGGCATTAATGGCATTCATGAGGGCTCCATCCTCATGACCTAATGGGGCTAGGATTTCAACATACAAACCTGGGGAGGCAAGGAGGACACGAACGTTCAGGTTGCAGCAATGACCCAAGGTAAATAAATTGTTTGATTTCACCGATCTTGTTTCCTCATCTAAAAGAAACTGGACACTACTTGTACCCATTTCTGAGGTGATTAGAATATTTCAACTGACGGAACACAGTAACGGTCCAATAAATACAGGAAAAGAGCATGGAAGTTAAGTGCTGCCGGAAGCTCACATGTCTTAGTTTTCGTCTGCCAAAGCAAGAATTGCACTGAACTATGTTAAACAGGCAAGGAAGACTCCATGCAAGGCTCTGAGAACTGGGAAGAGAGAGGCCAGAGGTCAGTCCGAGCTCAGTTCTGCTGAAACAAAGGGTGGGAGGGTGTGTGAGGGCTGAGTGAGACAATGGGAGTGCGCTGGAGGACTGTAGAGGGGAGGTGGACCTGTAGAACACATTGAGTAACTTGCTGAAGTTTGCTCCCCTGGTTCTGCCTGCGATCAGGCCATGTGTGCTTGCTGGTTGTTGCCTGTTAGAAGCTAGCTCCTGCCCTCCCACAGAGACTGGGAATAGGGGTGCTATCTTCCTTGAGGATTACATTTCAAAGGATGGCTCCCAGGTCCTTGCGAAAGACAGTTTGGAATTACAAAAGAGGAAAGAGGCTTGGAAAAAGAGCTACTTCTGTTTTAAACAGAGAAAGGACCAACAAGCACAGAAGAAAATGCTCCCCATCACTTGCCATCAGGGAAGTACAAATCAAAACCACAATGATGACCACAGCTTTGTAGTACAACCTGAAATCTGGCATTGTGATGCCCCCAGCTATGGTTTTCTTTTTTAAAATTCCCCTGGCTATTTGGGGTCTTTTCTGATTCCACACAAATCTTAAAATAATTTGTTCTAAGTCTCTGAAGAAAGTCCATGGTATTTTGATAGGGATTGCATTGAACGTGTAAATTGCCCTGGGTAGCATTGACATTTTCACAATATTAATTCTGCCAATCCATGAGCATGGAATATTTTTCCATCTCTTTGTGTCTTCCTCAATTTCTTTCAGAAGTGTTCTATAGTTTTTAGGGTATAGATCCTTTACCTCTTTGGTTAGGTTTATTCCTAGGTATCTTATGCTTTTGGGTGCAATTGTAAATGGGACTGACTCCTTAATTTCTCTTTCTTCAGTCTCATTGTTAGTGTATAGGAATGCCATTGATTTCTGGGCATTGATTTTGTATCCTGCCACGCTACCAAATTGCTGTATGAGTTCTAGCAATCTTGGGGTGGAGGCTTTTGGGTTTTCTATGTAGAGTATCATGTCATCGGCGAAGAGGGAGAGTTTGACTTCTTCTTTGCCAATTTGAATGCCTTTAATGTGGTCATCAAGACAGTGTGGTACTGGCACAAAAACAGACACATAGACCAATGGAACAGAATAGAGAATCCAGAAATGGACCCTGAACTTTATGGTCAACTAATATTCGACAAAGGAGGAAAGACGATCCACTGGAAGAAAGACAGTCTCTTCAATAAATGGTGCTGGGAAAATTGGTCATCCACATGCAGAAGAATGAAACTAGACCACTCTCTTGCACCATACACAAAGATAAACTCAAAATGGATGAAAGATCTAAATGTGAGACAAGACTCCATCAAAATCCTAGAGGAGAACACAGGCAACACCCTTTTTGAACTTGGCCACAGTAACTTCTTGCAAGATACATCCACGAAAACAAAAGAAACAAAAGCAAAAATGAACTATTGGGACTTCATCAAGATAAGAAGCTTTTGCACAGCAAAGGATACAGTTAACAAAACTCAAAGACAACCTACAGAATGGGAGAAGATATTTGCAAATAACATATCAGATAAAGGGCTAGTTTCCAAAATCTATAAAGAACTTATTAAACTTAACACCAAAGAAACAAACAATCCAATCATGAAATGGGCAAAAGACATGAAGAGAAATCTCACAGAGGAAGACATAGACATGGCCAACATGCTCATGAGAAAACGCTCTGCATCACTTGCCATCAGGGAAATACAAATCAAAACCACAATGAGATACCACCTCACACCAGTGAGAATGGGGAAAATTAACAAGGCAGGAAACAACAAATGTTGGAGAGGATGCGGAGAAAAGGGAACCCTCTTACACTGTTGGTGGGAATGTGAACTGGTGCAGCCACTCTGGAAAACTGTGTGGAGGTCCCTCAAAGAGTTAAAAATAGACCTGCCCTACGACCCAGCAATTGCACTGTTAGGGATTTACCCCGAAGATTCAGATGCAATGAAACGCCGGGGCACCTGCACCCCGATGTTTCTAGCAGCCATGTCCGCGATAGCCAAACTGTGGAAGGAGCCTCGGTGCCCATCGAAAGATGAATGGATAAAGAAGATGTGGTTTATGTATACAATGGAATATTACTCAGCCATTAGAAACAACAAATACCCACCATTTGCTTCAACGTGGATGGAACTGGAGGGTATTATGCTGAGTGAAGTAAGTCAATCGGAGAAGGACAAACAGTGTATGTTCTCACTCATTTGGGGAATATGAATAATAGTGAAGGGGAATATAAGGGAAGGGAGAAGAAATGTGTGGGAGATATCAGAAAGGGACACAGAACATAAAGACTTCTAACTCTGGGAAATGAACTAGGGGTGGTGGAAGGGGAGGAGGGCGGGGGGTGGGGGTGAATGGGTGACGGGCACGGAGGGGGACACTTGACGGGATGAGCACTGGGTGTTATTCTGTATGTTGGTAAATTGAACACCAATAAAAATTAATTTATAAAAAAAAAAAACCACAATGAGATACCACCTCACACCAGTGAGAATGGGGAAAATTAACAAGGCAGGAAACCACAAATGTTGGAGAGGATGTGGAGAAAGGGGAACCCTCCTGCACTGTTGGTGGGAATGTGAACTGGTGCAGCCATTCTGGAAAACTGTGTGGAGGTTCCTCAAAGAGTTAAAAATAGATCTGCCCTACCACCCAGCAATTGCACTGCTGGGTATATACTCCAAAGATACAGATGCAGTGAAACGCCGGAAGTGCACCCCAATGTTTATAGCAGCCATGTCCACAATAGCCAAACTGTGGAAGGAGCCTCAGTGTCCACCAAAGATGAATGGATAAAGAAGATGTGGTCTATGTATACAATGGAATATTACTCAGCCATTAGAAACGACAAATACCCACCATTTGCTTTGATGTAGATGGAACTGGAGGGTATTATGCTGAGTGAAGTAAGTCAATCGGAGAAGGACAAACATCATATGATCTCATTCTTTTGGGGAGTATAAAAAATAGTGGAAGGGAATAAAGGGGAAAGGAGAAAAAATGAGTGGGAAATATCAGAAAGGGAGACAGAACATGAGAGACTCGTAACTCTTGGAAATGAACAGGGGGGGGTAGAAGGGGAGGTGGGGGGGGTTACTGGATGATGGGCACTGAGGGGGGCACTTGGGATGAGCACTGGGTGTTATTCTATATGTTGGCAAATTGAACACCAATAAAAAATAAATTTATATAAAAAATAGAGAAAGGATGTGTAATTACAAGTTTTCTAAAGCAGATGCCCAGAGAAAAGGGTGATCAGGACCTAGAGCCAGGGGGAGCCTGTCTAAACATTAGTCCAGCTCAGGAACATTCAGGCCATCTTGGTCACGTCATTTTATGCAAAGTAAGCAGAAGATTTAAAAGAGAGATACCTCCATTTTGGCAGAATTAAGAAAGCTGCTGTGTTTCATTCAGAACAGCTTGGTGCTTTTCAGAACAGGATGTGTAATGACTATAAATCTCATCTGTAAGCAGTGTAATGGCTTCATTTTCAGTAACCCTGTTTGTTTTTTTAGACTCCACACATCAGTAGGTTGCCTTTGCCTTAAAATTGTTTATACACCTAGGTTCATGGCTTTTCTACTCCCTCCCCCTTTCTTTCCCACCCTAGTGTTGCATCCAGGTTTGGGGGGACAGGAGTGTCAACAGTTAATAATTCAGGGTGTCAACAGTTCAGA